AGGGGGAAACACAAAATATTTGCTGTTTAAAAAAAGAGAGAGACTAAGAGGGTTGAGAACCACGGTTTGGTCCATGGTGACCACCCAGTGGATGAGAGAAGACAGAAAAGTCACAAGCCTTCTGCATCTACCCCTGTACCATTTCATTTCAGGATTATCGTGGGGCGTTGATACCGTGATGGCCAGAAAGAGTTAACTCCCCTGCCTAAGCACCCAGCTTCCTCTAGGGGAGCTGAATGAGTCAGGAGATCAGGTTTCTAGTTTCTGCTCTGCCACTAACTACTGGTGTGACCTTTAGCGGCTCACAGTGATCACTGTGGGTCCCCATTTCCTTAACTGTAATGAGGGCATTGGAATAAATTACTTTAAAGGTCCTTTCCATCTCTATAACAAAATGCATAATTTTGATTCTTAGATTTAGGCACTGATCAGAAGAAACTGATTTCTTTAACAAGTGTGTATAAAATATATCCCGTGGGCCTCAATTATATTTCCAACCACAATATTTCTTTTAAAATAGTCTAAGGACTTGAGTCTTTAAAAAAATGCCAAATGCCATGTCCTATGAAAAATTTTAAAAAACTGTTTCCTCAAAAAAGAAGTACCTCTCTATTTGCAGTAGTGAGCACATTTATTATGAGAACATAGTCACCCCTCTGAAGGGGACATCTACTTTATTACCTTTCTGCTCACTGCTGTAAAAGTTACAGTTTTACTTTTTGCTTTGAATTCCTGAAATAAAAGTGATCTTACCTGCTTTTCCAATCATATATTTTTAGCAGCTCTAACCTTCCCCACAGAGGTTTTCTAATAGTCCACAGAACTAACAATTCAACAAAATCTATATACAACTGAACAGTGACTACAAACGAGGTGTTTAACGGCCAGCACTATGGTGTGAATCAACTTCTTGTTCAAGTAACTATTTCATCCACAACCAATTTTGCCCTAGAGCTTTTGAAAAACACAATGGAAATCTGTTAAATTGCCAGTCTTGCTGAACTTCAACTATTTTCTCTAACCAGGTCCACGGTAACAATAGATACTTGAGAGCTTCTCTTCAGTGCAATGTACTTTGATTTGGAGCATAAGTACAGAGATCAAATGGACCAGACCCCTTATTCTGGTGGCATCTTGCTGTTTCTTCTTTAGAAAGTACCTATGGAAGGTTGAGGATTATCACCTTAACACATACACATGTGTATGCTTTAGTAAAACCTCATGCTTACAGATTCGGCTTAGTAAGATTTATCAATCAGAATATTCCTGTTTGGTTTTCAGAAGTAGTCCACTATCATTAAAAAAAAAAACAACATAGGGCGCCTGGGTGGCTCAGTTGGTTAAGCGACTGCCTTCGGCTCAGGTCATGATCCTGGAGTCCCTGGATCGAGTCCCGCATCGGGCTCCCTGCTCGGCGGGGAGTCTGCTTCTCCCTCTGACCCTCCTCCCTCTCATGCTCTCTGTCTCTCATTCTCTCTGTCTCAAATAAATAAATAAAATCTTTAAAAAAACAAAAAAACAAAAAAACCCCAACATATTAATCACCTCTCTTGCATGTGAAGTGGGATTGAATTTCTCAAATTTTGATTGTAGGACTTTTATTTTTTCCAGGAACATATATAATTCTTAAAACATATTCATTAAGTAGGTATACAATCAAGTCTTGATTATGTTTCTGTGAATGACATATATTCCACTGCAAAGTTCCCATACCAGCTTTGCTTATTTCTATCACCCAGCTCGTTTCTGGGCAGGTTGCCCATCTGTATCACCTCCCTATAAATCGGTTTTGGTGTGTGAGGTATATAAGCTCATTTAAAAATTAACCTAAACAAAACAAAATAATTAGAAAGGCAACTTGCCCCCAACAACAATGAAAATCTTTTATAAACCAAACATGCACTATGTTCCAAAGACAAAAACAAATGACTTTTTAAATAACCATGATTTTGGATTATCTTTGCCTCTATTCTTCTCATTAACATGAATAATTCAGAGTGCTTACTATACATAGTGAAACTATTTCCTCTCAATAATTCATTTTTAGTATATAGAAAAATAAGATCTAACACATCCTTATGTATTTCCAAAGGTTTAAATTAGACCATATTTTTCAAGGCAACTTAACTTTCAAAATTGTCTATAGTTTGGGCTCATTCCCTGCAGTGCTATCCTGGTAGTAAGTAAGGAGAATCTTAGGCTTTCAAAGCAAAAGCAGTACAGAGCAGTGCACCAGGTCAGAAGGCAGAAACCTCACCTTTCCTTGGTTCTTGATATTCTCCTAGTACATATCAATTATTTGCAAAGTGTGGGCTAGATTGCCAATATCTTTTTCCTCAAAAATAGGAGTGTTTTGAAACATTACACCTGGATTTGAGTAAAAAGAATTTCCCAGTGTTCTCGCTGCACTGAAGGAACAATATATTTATTATGCAACTTAATTTTGAGTGAGAAAAACGTCCTAACATTGCAGTTGTAGCTACAGCAAACATCCCTAAATGTGAAAGCTATCTGGGATTGGGGAAGGAGGGGGAGACTCAAAACCCCAAGTATTGCTCTAATGATGACATAAACAAAATGAAGGGTGTGAATCTATCTGCTGATTATATACAGACTCATCCAAGTTCACAAACACAAATATAAAGAATATTACCTAGACATGTTATTCATATCCTATGTAATATCGACAGCCAACATCTGTATGGGAAACAAAGTGTATGTCTTCAGTCTACTTCATCTGGGGTTTGGAATATTAAGTTAGCCTCCCATTTTGTAAATTCTTCCTGGGAAGAGGTTATATCCTTCTGGAACCACACTAATTTTCTGGAGTCACGAGGCTGTTTAATACACTGCTTCAGAGCACCAAATTCTACCCTTGTGACCAGGAAGAAAGGGAAAGAATGTCATCAGGAGGAGTCTGCAGCTGTACTAATTCTCAGCTTCTGTTTGGTAACAAAAAGGTGGAGGGGAAAAAAAAAAAAAAAGCAATCAGATTTCACTGGAGTATACACACCAGCTCTGGCCAAAGGCTTTAAAACTTTTTTTGATTTCTTCTTTCATTGAAAATAAAAGGAGAGGAACTTATAGTGTAAGAAGCCAAACATAACAGTTGCCAAACTTGGGTCAACTTCAGATATCACTGCAGCTATTGGGATATTCATGGAAATGTATGAAATGATGTATGTTTTGATACCTGTGAAAATAAAAGACTGCGCTTTGAGTGGGAGAGAACAGATGGTTGGTAATGATTTAAAACATTTATGTTTTTGGACTGTCACCAAGCCTCTGTATTAAAAAAATATGGTGCTTAGTACATACCAATCTATCTGCAAGGTGCTCATTTTCTGGAGGATGCTACTGTAATAAAGGAGATAAAACTCAAATGAGGCACGAGGAAGATTCTTTTTGCTTTCTCAGGGCATTCGATGTGTGCTATTTCTTATGGACTATATTCAATCAAAATGTTTTCTGTGTGATGAGAGGATTTTAATTTTTCTTCAATAACTAGTCAACTAGTTATGTGTCCAGGAATTGTATTCCTTTGGAATGCACTGGGTAGAATTGTAATTTTGTTCTGTACATTTGATTCACTTTGACTGAAGCTCTTAAAAACCCCTTAAGCAATAATAAAATCTGGTAGTCCAGGGTAGTCCTGCACATGAAAAACAGTAACATTCTCCTTATCCTCAGTTTGGTAGACAGGCATATGGTGTTACAATTATGTACTGGAATTGGCAGGTGCCAGACCACTGAATCAAGAAGACAGATAAATATTGAATATTGTCACACTGTATTTTGGTGTGTGCATGTGAGTCCAAAAGAAGCCCTTGTCCTTTAAACCCAGTGACAAAGTGACAGTACAGATAGAGCTGCATAGAGAAAGACTGATGCAATGTTTGGAGTTAAAGCGCTGAAAAATAAACACTGTAAATAATACTCTTAATTACTGTAAAAACTGCTGCAGGGGAGTCTTATTAAACATCTCCAGTGTTTTGATTTGGTTCTGATAACATAATGCGGGAAAAGTCACACAAACACAAACTGTATTATTTACTTGTCATCCCTTTCATAACCCTGGGAACGATTCAGGAACAGTTTGCCTGTGGGAGGGAAGGTGGGGGTGGACCGCAGGGAGGGGAGCAAGGAGGAGCAGCGGCTCAGGCTGCGCACCTGTGAACTTAGTTGGAAATAACTCCGACAGGCATCAAACAGAACACCTTTTCGCCCTCTAACAGAAATATGCTGATAGGATGTTCAAACGGGGCAGAAGGGGGAGCAGGTAAGCGTGCGCAAGTAAGAGCAGCAACCAAACAATCGCGCCGTTCCTACTCTCCCCAACCCACTTCAATCTTCCTCCCCACATCACGCCTCCCAACCCCTTTGCTGGCGCCTGATGCACCCGGGTTCCGAGTCTCCCAACTTCCCTCCCACATTGTCCGCAGCCTTCGCCGGAGCTTTAGCAAGGTTCCGGAGTTTGAGGCCGATGCAAAAGAGGCACCGCTGCAGAGATGCTCATCTTCCTGCCAAACATGCCGGAGGACCGGATAAACCGGCATCCGAAACTCAATGCTGTGCCTTGTGGTGTCCTCCTGCCAACCCCCGCTTGCGCCAAGTCGGGGATGCACCGGAATCCTGGAGTCCCGGGCGCCCCGCCGGGCCCGGGAACCCAGCACAGGTAGTTAAGTTCAGGCGCGCGTCCTCCTCCCGCGCCCCTCCCGCGCCCTGTCCCCTCCAGCTCCCGGCCACGCCGCCCCTCCGAGCAGGTCCAGTAAAGTGAACGGAAGTGGGTTCAAATATGGGGGGAGGATGGGGAAGCAGAGAAAGACGGGGTCAAGAGGAAAGGAAAGATGCCTCCCTCAGTCGACAGAGGCGAAGCACCTGAAAAGGTGAGGATGCACTTCCCCGCCCCCGCAGCCCCCTCTACCGCGGCTGCTCAGCGCTCCCCGCAATGCCGGCCCCCACGCCCTACCCCATCCCCGGCCCCAAACCGGTGCGCTCACCTCGCCAGCGGCCGCCGGCTGGTCCCCCTTTTCCGGGAGCGGAGCTTCGCGGGAAACTTCCCCGCGCTCCGGGGCAAACTCGGTGGACTCCTCCCCGCCGCGGGCCGTCGGGTGCGCAGGAGCGGGCGCGGCGCGCGGGGAGCAGGGGCAGCGCGCGGGGAGCAGGGGCAGCGCGGAGCCGGGCGCTCGCCCTCGCCCGTCCGCCCGGCAGGCTGCGGCGCCGCCTCGACTCCGAGCCCGCTCCCGCTCGCGCTCCGTTCGCGCCGCGGCCGCCGCGCCCCCGCCCGCCCCGGCGGCTCCGCCTCCCGCTTTTATCTCCCCTGCCGCGCGCCGCCCGCCCCGCCGCCCGCTGCTGCGCCGCCGCCGGCCTCCCATCCGCCGACTTTCTGGCTTGTCCCCCGCCGGCCTCTCGCCCCGCCTCGCGACCCCGGTGCGGCCGAGGCTCGAGTGCCCCCCGGTCTTGGTTTAGGAAGTAATTATCCTCGCCATTTCCTAATTCCCCTTCCCCTCTTCCCCTCCGCCCCGTCTCAGATTCCTTTCCCGGGTGTTCTAGAAACACCCGAAGGACTAGTCAGTAGGTTAGTAGGTTATCGCTAACATTGACTCCAAAGTCTTAGAATTTCTTCTGCTTCACAGATAACACACACACACACACACACACACACACTGATTATGGTAGGTCAGTAGTTACACAATACAGGAGTGTGTGCCCTGGGTGGGCTCAGTAGTAGGTTTGTGTAAGGCAAGGGCTTCCTTAAAAAAGAGCAGAGTGACCATTTACAATATTTCAGACCTCTGAGATCCTTCAGGCCACGCATTTCAACAGTGAACAAGTTAAGTTGGCAGTGTGCAAAGGGCTTTGGAAGACCAAGATTAGGTCGAATTTTCTTTTATCATTAAAGCAACGGTTCATTGAGATTTTAAAAGATTAAATCTTTAAAAGATTAAAAAATGAATCCCAAACATTATGCTAGCAACAATTTGACTGAACTAGAGCAAATAAAATGAACAAAACCCCTGACTGCGCAGTGGTTTAGGCAGTTTTTATGAACTAAAGAAAAACGTTTCAAAAGTATTAAGTGGCTAAACCTACCCCACTGCTACATTAGAATGTATATATTTTTCAAACTGAGTTGTTACCCAGTTTCTGCACTTTCAGTAGGTCTCATTCTCACCCGTGGCTTAGAAATAACATGTAACATGGCAGGGCCGGGGTGCTGGAAGGGAACTTTGGTTCATTGAGGAAATACTATAATAGGAGTTGCTTGCCCAATTCCACTGTCTTTCAAACAGAGCCTGATTCTTCTGTTATGAGAGTTTTATTTTTAATGTATATGTCTGCTAGTTTGTTATTAATATTGAGCTCAGATAATGTCTGTCCTCCATGCAGTGAAGGTTCTTAGTCACCACTAGAATGAACCTCTTTCCTTGCAGTTGGACTTCCAAAGATACAAGGTGGTGTCCCTGAGCTGTATTTGACCGGTAGGCTGTTGATGAGTGCTTGTTGAATGAATTAACCAATTTAACTTAGTTGCTTTCAGTATGGTCCTAGGGGTGTCATTCCATGTTCTATGAAATCTTGGAGTTGTAACCATTATTAGAGCAGTGAAGAAAGAGCTGGACTCTGCATCTTGGCTGCTGAAAGTCATACAACTTTTGTGACCTATGCCTTCTCCTTTGCAAAATAAAGGAGTTGAGCAAGAATACTTTTATAACTCTATTTTTTAAAGTTCATAAAGTTTTTGTAGCCAGTGGGGAAACTGGGCACGATCAGGTCAACCTCTGATTGAATTTGCTTGATTGATGTGCTGCTAGGCATTGCCAGTCTACTGTTGGATAAGCATCTATTTCATTCATCTACCATCATACCAAATTAAACACTTAGAAGTGTGAACTGTCTTCTACTCTTAATCATCTGTCCAAAGCCGTTAAAAATATTTTTAATGACTAAGAAAATTGAGTTTTGTTAATATCCAAGGTTGATGAGTAAAGGTTCAAAGAATCACCTGAAAAGTGCATACCACGCATCAGGGTAAGATACATCTTCTTATGACATTTAATTGGGAGTTATATGGTTAAATGAAAATACTGCCTTTTTTTTTTTTAATTTTGTAAACTAATTTAATTTTTACATAGTGAATTATTTCTGAAACATTGGTTCACAGCATGTTTCTAAATTCTCTAGTCTATTAATTTTGTTTAGTTCTGTGAATTCCTTAAAATGTTTAACTATTGACTGTTTCTGGGCAAGTATGAAGCTTCTGGATCATTGATCATTTAATGTGTAGGTTAGTAACAATTATAGTCATAAAAGGAGTTCCTGCATCAAATTATGAGTGCTTTTGTGGAAGGAGGGCTTCACCATCACAGGGCTGATATTATTGGTCTAAGCATAAGAAATGCAGTCAAACTTGACTTTAAAAATGCAACTAATAGTATGAAGAATGAGCCCAGCAATCTGCTCATATTTTATGAAAGATGTGTGTAGGGAAAAAAAAGGGTAGCGGGGTAGGAAAAGAATAAGGAAGGATATTTTTCTGGTATCATTATGTACAAAAAAGCTACTTTAAGGTGTGAACACAGCACTGTTATGGGATAGCTCTTAGTATTTCTGAGTTTGTGCTTTTCTTTAACCATGTGCTTCTCAATGTGACTTGCCTTAATGAATGGTCAAAATAATAATTCAGCAGAAATGCATTAAGCACAACATTCAAGGTCATATAGGGGTTGCAAATACCTTTAAACCATCTTAATTTTGTCTCCAACTGTTTTGCTGAAGGAAAGCAGAGATGTATTTACTTGGAAAGAAATACTTTTACATGAGTCAATAGAGGATAGTCCAGTAGCTATAGGAACTTCTCTTGCTCTTATTCTGTACAGCAGGAGTAAAATAAGAAAAATAATGAGAGAACATGATTTATGTTGATTCACGGTGAGGGAACACAAGCTTTCCCACTAAGCTGGAAGGGAAGAATAGCAGAACTCATGTAGTAGATGATAGAAGACACTTGGCCCAACTTTTTCTGGGGGAAAAATAAAAATAAAAAAGTATTAAGGAAAAAGAGGTTTAAAACAGTTTTTAAAAACCTTAAGCCAGTGAGGTGAAAAAGAAGAGTGCTGGAGAACTGGATTGAGAGCTATGAAGATGGGCAAGTCTCCTCTCCCTGGGCTCTGTTTTATCTTCTGTAGTGCTTGAGGTCATTGAACTGGACAGGCCCTAAGGACCCTTCTACCTTCAAAACTTCTGCCATGTCTGGCCATGATCACTTATTTTGATCAACCTATTCAGATAATTATTCAACTTCACATATCAGTTTATCTGCATAGTGACATCCAAAGCAAATTCTAATCAGAAAATAAAAGGCTGGTGTAGCTTTTTTTCTCATTAGAAGAAATTCAAAACAAAAATGAGAGCCCATTAGAGAAATGTAGTACTGATTATCTGAAGTTGATATACAGGATGCAGAATGTGGGTATCTTACAAAGTCGAACCTCCTCTCTGAAATTTAAGAGGAAAGTGTCCTATTTTCATATCAGGAATAAATAGGGCAAAGGACAAAGCATTAAAATTTTACAGTTGAGGAGTCTGGAAGTATAATGATTTATCTCCTGCTACAGTAGAGTAAATCTTGCAATTTGAGGGATGCTAAAATTATTATGTAATGGGTTGAAAAAAGAAAAGGGATTTGGTTCTGGGAGCTCTAGCTTTAACATTTTTTTAGAGAGGAGATTATTTTCTTAAAAATTAAAAATATCAAGTATCAGATATATATAAGTAAAGCACAAATTAAGTATTCAGAAAAATATAAAAAAAAGGGAATGCACATGGAAAAATACATGAAAAAGCACAGGATTAATAGTAAATGAGGAAGAACTATGATCCTAAAGAATGAAAACCTTTATATGAAAAAAAAGGTGTTGGTCAAACAGAGAAACTGAAAGATAATTATAAATAAATAAAAAGAAACAAGATGTGTTGCCATTATTATTATATATCTGCTGCCCAAATAAAGCAATGATTCAAGGTCAAATAAATTAGAATAGTCAGCACCTAATAGTCTTGGTAAATAGAGCAGATCAATAAATATGTATTGATTGGTTGATTGAATAAGAACTGCTTGCAGTTATTTTAGGAAAACCAAAGTCACTAGGGAAGTTATGTATGTCATTTCTTAAACCGAGCAAGTCTGAATTTCCTTTAAAAACTAACGAAAGACAAAACCTTTCCAGATAGTCTTAAGCAATGAAATTTTATGAAAACTTTATAATATCATGTTTATATATAGAAAAACCTAAATTGGAAATTTATATAAGGTGGAAATGTAAATATGCCTATATAAAGAAATGATGTTTTGCATCTTTGATGATTTTTGATAGGTGATTGAAATAGCCAAAATTTCATGTGAACAATTTACAAAAAAAAAAAAAAAGCAAAACTTTTCTCTAAAATAATATGTGGACACACACATTTTTTATTTTCTGAGGTGGGTTCAGGTTCCGAAATGGGTGGTCAAGATATTGACAGATGACTTCAAGGCCCTAAGTGAAAATAAAAAGTAATTTGCGATGGTCTGAATTGATGAGAGTCCTGCCATACTGTACGTTTCAACAGGATCTAGGAAAGAATGAGTGATGGAGCCTTCCTTGAGAAATATTTTACTAATTAATTCACCAAGCATGGCTGTCTAGTCAATGGGGGCACTCCATGTTGGTGCCTTGGATACAAAAATTAATAAAATGTGGTCCCTTTTAAAAGGTGGTCACTAATGGATCCGAATCACGTATCATTAAATTTAGAAATGCTAAGCTAACAGAAAAAAAAGGGAAGAGTGGCTGGCAGAAAAGAAAAAGAAAAATCAAAATCTCTTTATATGGTTTCTATTCAAAGATGTGTGTGAATATGTGTGTGCACCTAAGTGTGTGTTTGAAAGGGATGGAAAAAGCAAGCAAGCTTTTAAGAGATTTGATGAAATCAAGAGAGTATGTCAATGATGTATCCTAAGATAAAATATGGCATTTGAGGGCAGAGAGTAATTCTAAATCCACCCCGCCCATGCAATGAAATATTTCCTTGTCCAGTGCTGGGAGTATTTGTGATATACGATTCACTTCACCAAATCTAATATCATGTAGCCCTAAGGGATGCAGACCATGGTGACTGTCCCAGCCTTTCTGAAGACTTTTCGTTGACTGTTCATTCAAAATGTGTATTGTTAACAGGAGGATTTTT